TTTTAATTTATTTTTAATTTATTTTTAATTTATTTTATCTAATTATAAAAAATAATTAGACATAATATTCATATTAAATAATAAAATAAATTATAATTTATAAATTTCATTTTTTAAATTTTAATATATTAAAAAAACTAGACGACGGATGGCCCGAGAGCGTAGAGAAGCAAAATTTTCTGTTAATAATATGGAGATACGCTTTTTACGCACAGGCTCTTTTACACACAAACGCTTTTACACACAGACGCTTTTATACACAGACACTTTTTACACACAGGCACTTTTACACACAGAAGCTTTTACACACAGACGCTTTTACACATAGACCCTTTTACACAGAGACGCTTTTACACACTACAGGCTCTTTTACACACAGACACTTTTACACACAGACGCTTTTTACACACAAATTTTTTTACACACAAAGACTTTTACGCACAAAGGCTTTTACCCGCAAAGACTTTTACCCACAAACGCTTTTACACACAGAGACTTTTACATACAAAAACTATCACATACAAAGACTTTTACACAGACGCTTTTACACAAAGAGACTTTTACACACACAAACGCTTTTAGACACAGAAACTTTTACGCACAAACGCTTTTACACACAAACACTTTTACACACAGATGCTTTTACACACAAACGCTTTTACACACAAAGGCTTTTTAAACACAAACGCATTTACACACAGAGGCTTTTACACACAAACACTTTTACACAATTATTTTTACACACAAACACTTTTACACACAGACGCTTTTACACACAAACGCTTTTACACACAGACGCTTTTTACACACAGGGACTTTTACACACAGAAGCTTTTACATACAGACGCTTTTATACACAGACACTTTTACACACAAACACTTTTATACACAGATGCTTTTACACACAGACCCTTTTACATACAAACACTTTTACATACAAACACTTTTACACACAGACGCTTTTACACACAAACGCTCTTTTACACACAGACGCTTTTACACACAAACTCTTTAATACACAGAAACTTTTACACACAAAAACTTTTACACACAAACGCTTTTACACACAAACGCTTTTACACACAAACACTTTTACACACAAACGCTTTTACATAGAAACACTTTTTACACACAAATATTTTTTCACACAAACGCTTTTACACACAAATGCTTTTACACACAAAGACTTTTACACACACACACGCTTTTACACACAGAAACTTTTACACAAACGCTTTTACACACGAACACTTTTACACAAACACTTTTACACACAGACGCTTTTACACACAAACGCTTTTACACACAAACATTTTTTAAACACAAACGCATTTACACACAGAGGCTTTTACACACAAACACTTTTACACAATTATTTTTACACACAAACACTTTTACACACAGACGCTTTTACACACAAACACTTTTACACACAGACGCTTTTTACACACAGGGGCTTTTACACACAGGGGCTTTTACACACAGAACCTTTTACATACAGACGCTTTTACACACAAACACTTTTACACACAGACGCTTTTACACACAGATGCTTTTACACACAGACGCTTTTTACACACAAACGCTTTTTACACACAGACAAGTCCGGCACAAGTAAAATCGCAATTTTACCACAATTTTTGACGATCGACCCTCATTTCGTGCGAAAGGATTGCTCCGGCACAAGTAAAATCGCAATTTTACCTCAATTTTTGACGATCGACAAGTAAAATCGCAATTTTACCACAATTTTTGACGATCGACCCTCATTTCGTGCGAAAGGGTTGCTCCGGCACAAGTAAAATCGCAATTTTACCTCAATTTTTGACGATCGACCCTCATTTCGTGCGAAAGGGTTACTCCGGCACAAGTAAAATCGCAATTTTACCACAATTTTTAACGATCGATCCTCATTTCGTGTGAAAGGGTTTCTCCGGCACAAGTAAAATCGCAATTTTACCACAATTTTTAACGATCAACAAGTAAAATCGCAATTTTACCACAATTTTTGACGATCGACCCTCATTTCGTGCGAAAGGGTTGCTCCGGCACAAGTAAAATCGCAATTTTACCTCAGTTTTTGACGATCGACCCTCATTTCGTGCGAAAGGGTTGCTCCAGGACAAGTTTTTGACGATCGCCCGTCATTTCGTACGAAAGGGTTACTCCGGCACAAGTAAAATCGCAATTTTACCACAATTTTTAACGATCGACCCTCATTTCGTGCGAAAGGGTTGCTCCGACGCAAGTAAAATCGCAATTTTACCACAATTTTTAACGATCGACCCTCATTTCGTGCGAAAGGGTTACTCCGGGACAAGTAAAATCGCAATTTTACTTCAATTTTTAACGATCGACCCTCATTTCGTACGAAAGGGTTGCGTTTCGTACCGTCTCGTTGGCACTGCCCCTACTCCCGCCTTCAAAAGTAAAATAAAAAAGAAAAGAGCAAAACGGCAAGAGGACAAGAGGGCAAGAGGGCAAAAGAGCAAAAAGGCAAGAGGGCAAAAAGGCAAGAGGGCAAGAGGGCAAGAGGGCAAGAGGGTAAGAGGGCAAGAGGGCAAGAGGGCAAGAGGAGAAGAGGAGAAGAGGAGAAGAGGAGAAGAGGAGAAGAGGAGAAGAGGAGAAGAGGAGAAGAGGAGAAGAGGAGAAGAGGAGAAGATGAGAAGATGTGAAGATGAGAAGATGTGAAGATGAGAAGATGTGAAGATGAGAAGATGTGAAGATGTGAGGAGATGTGAGGAGATGTGAGGAGATGTGAGAAGATGTGAGAAGATGTGAGAAGATGTGAGAAAATGTGAGAAGATGTGAGAAGATGTGAGAAGATGTGAGTGGAGGTGTGAGAAGATGTGAGTGGAGGTGTGAGAAGATGTGAGTGGAGGTGTGAGAAGATGTGAGTGGAGGTGTGAGAAGATGTGAGTGGAGGTATGTGAGAAGATGTGTGGAGGTATGTGAGAAGATGTGAGGAGGTATGTGAGAAGATGTGAGAAGATGTGAGAAGATGTGAGAAGATGTGAGAAGATGTGAGAAGATGTGAGAAGATGTGAGAAGATGTGAGAAGATGTGAGAAGAGGTGAGAAGATGTGAGAAGATGTGAGAAGATGTGAGAAGATGTGAGAAGATGTGAGAAGATGTGAGAAGATGTGAGAAGATGTGAGAAGATGTGAGAAGATGTGAAGATGTGAAGATGAGGAGAAGATGGGAGGATGAGAAGATGTGAAGATGAGAAGATGTGAAGATGAGAAGAGAAGATGTGAGAAGATGTGAAGATGAGAAGATGTGAGAAGATGTGAAGATGAGAAGATATGAAGATGAGAAGATGTGAAGATGAGAAGATGTGAAGATGAGAAGATGAGGAGATGAGAAGATGTGAAGATGAGAAGATGTGAGAAGATGTGAGAAGATGTGAGAAGATGTGAGAAGATGTGAGAAGATGTGAGAAGATGTGAGTGGAGGTGTGAGAAGATGTGAGTGGAGGTGTGAGAAGATGTGAGTGGAGGTGTGAGAAGATGTGAGAAGATGTGAGAAGATGTGAGAAGATGTGAGAAGATGTGAGAAGATGTGAGAAG